ATATTATTAATTAATTATTATAATTATTATATATATATATATATATATATATATATATATATATATATTATATATTTAATTGCTAAAGAAATTAAGTATCAAATAATATGAATAAATAACCGCAAGGTTCTTTAAGGCTTTTATAAAATAGAAAAAAATTGTTTTCTATATTATTTTATATTAGTCATCAATTTAATAAATAATATAAAATATATTTTTAAATATTATTCAACTAAAATTTGTTTATACTGTGATGATATATTTCTAGAAACGTATGCGAATAATACTCGAATATGTTTCTGTTATATATATTTAGATTTGAGAGAAAAAAATGTATATTAAGTAATACGTAGAATGAAATGTTCCATAGTCAATTTTTATTTTATAAATTTTATTTATATTATTATTATTTTTTAAATAAAGTGAAGAGTCTATAAATCTTTATATAAATAATATATTTATACCTTATACAGCGCTAAGAATCGCTTGATATGAATAGAGAAAATATTATAGCCCGAATTACATTATTTTATTTATTTAATACATTTTGAATATTTTAGTTATCTTCGTTTGCCAGACATTTCATTTACATAATAAGTTATTGCATGGAGACCACACAAGTGGTAAGTCCCGTATTCTGGCGTATCCAGTTGACGTATGATGTGACGCGAGTGTTCACGCCCATTGCGTAGGAGGTGGAGGCGCAGGTTTTGCCAAAGCTGATGATGCCCACAAGGAATTGCTTGGAGAGCCGCTTGATGACCGGGCCGCCGGAATCGTACTGGCAGGAGTCGCGCTTCTGGCCCAGGTAGTCGTAGGTGCACATTTGGCCAGCGTTGATTACCGCATAGTTGTTGTAGTCCGTCTGGCAGTCCGGATTGCTGGCCACCATAAGATCCACCTTCTGCAGCAGACTGGCGGTGGGGCCGGCAAAGTAGGTGGTGCCCCAGCCAATCACATCGACGCCCTCATAGGCAAAGCTATTAGAACTGCACAGAGAATGAAACAGAATGAAGATTTGCTGAGGCACTAGAATCGTTTCTCTCTCTCTCTCTCTCTCTCTTTCTACTCACGTGCCAACAGGTGGCAAACAGATGGGACCCACGCCACGTGTCCACTTAATGTTCTCCGCTGTGATTAGCAAGGCGATATCATTCACAACGTTCGGCTCGTTTTGGTATTGCGGATGCCGCAGCATCTGCTGCATGGCATATTGAGTGTAGTACATGGAGCTGCTCGCTGTAGAATTTGATTTGATTTGATGTGAGGATTTATGTAGAACAAATTATGATAGAGCATTTATATTATAATTCACTTACGATTCTGCAGGTTGTTGGTGCCAACAATAGCCACAATGTTGGTGATCTGGCTAATCTGCAGAGTGCAGTGAGCAGCAGTCACAATATGACGATGAGAGACTGCATAAAAGTGTGGAAGATATTATAGGAAGTATAAAATGATAGTAAAATATTTAAGAATTTAAATGTGACGATAGGACACGTAGAAATAAATGTAAAAATGTCATAATATATAAAAATGTGTATTAGAGTTAATATTTTTTAAATATATAAGCAATCATGTAAATTTATATATATATAATAAATAATTAATTTTTAAAAAACAATTTTATGGTTATAGTTTTATAAACAAAATCATAGGCTGTTACCAAAAAATATTGTAAAATATATAGATTAATAGAAAATAAACATGAATGCAAAAGTTTACAAATTACAATGTGATGGTGCATAAAAATATAAAAAAAAATCAATGAGATGCTGCATAAAAATACATCAAAAAAATTACAATGCGAGGCTGCATAACTATATTAAAAGTATAAATATATTTTTATAAAATTCATAAATTATTAAAATCCTATTTTAATATCAATATATATATTTTAAAATATTTGTATAATGAATTCGTAAGGTAGAGACAAAGTGTGAATACACAAAATATTCGTTGATCAATCTAAAGAAAAACTTTTCAGTTGCAGCTCAGGTATTTCTGTGACTTATAAAGAAGCAACTAAATAGTGAATCCTTTTTTCTCTCATAATCCATTTTCGAACTGAATTCAAGAATTTACCCAATTAATCCTTCTAAACTTTACTTCATTCTCTTCCATTACCACCCAAGAAAGACTATCATATACCAAGATAGTTCTGTTAGGGTTTCTTTCTCTTTCAGAATTATTCTATAAAGCTGGATAATAATAATAGTCGATTCCACCCAATTGTTGCGTCATCCCTATGCAGGCTGCTCTCAAAAACTACTATCAACTTCCCTTGTTGCTATTTGGACTCCTTACGCTCCTCTAAGCCTCAGCCTCTTGATGCATTTCTACTTACCAATCGTACCGCCACAGAAAGTGGGCAGGTTGTTGGTGATGTCCTTGAGCGCGGCTATGCTAGGATATTCATTCGGCGCGGCATTCTGGCCGTTCGAGATGCGCGGCGATGCTGACCAGCCACAGCCGCAGTTTTGCTTCCTTACAGTCAGCTGGCATTTGAATCGGCCCGTGTTGCTGCTCGTTGAGATGTAGGCGAGGGTCAGTTCAGTGAAGAGCGATTCACGCTCGAGGTTGCCGCTGCCACAGAAGTTCTCAGCGGTGCGCATCAACAAATCGCCCTCAGTGTCCACCCAGAAGTTCTCCGTGGGACACTGGCCATTGCTCTGTAAATGTGATTGGCAGTCAGAGTGCGGCCACACAGGGCGTTGGCAGTCCGCTTACCGATGGCAAATTAAGGCTGCACTTTATGCTGATATAGTGGTCTAGCGGGGCCTTGAATTTGTAGCGGCACGAGGTGCGAGGCGGATAGTTATTGGGGTAGTAGGGCGATTCCAGGTAGGTGGTGCCCGCCTGCAGGTCATAGGAGGTGTCGCAGCCCTCGAAGTAGCCCCAAACAGCGGGCAGCGCCAGCAGGCAGCAGCTGGCCAAGATAAGGGAACGGCTCAGCATTGTGTGGCAAGACCTTTCGACTTCGATGCCAGCACTCAACTGGGCGAAACGCGACTGCCGCCCCCAACTAATACGAGTGGCGCAAAGGCACGCCAAATCCACAAACATTTTTGTTTTGGTTTATTGTGGCACAATTAACATTTCTGACAGCAGTTGATTAAACAACAGAATTATGGACGCGTTGCTCATACGCCGCGTGTCGCATTTTGTTGTTGCTCGGGGTTTTCATTTCAATGATTGCCACCTGCAGTTGTGCAAATATGTGTATCGGAAATGCTGCTTCGCCTCGACCTCCAATTGCAGTCGATTTTGAACTTGGCCGTTGGCTGTTGCCTATGGCTAATAATTTTACGACTTTAGCCGTCGTGCTATTCGCCCCGACTTAAATGTGTGACAGCTGATAAGAGCGCAGCAATTTACATTCTCTAACAAAAGCGGCGGGCGAGGGGTGTTTAAGAGCTTTGCTATACATAAAAATAGCTGGCAGTTCAATGTAGAGGATGCATTTTTATAATTCTAATCAAATTTATATATGCAAATAATTTATTTGTTTTTTTATTATTTATTACCTGACTTTTTTATTAGATTTACAACCATACAACAACTTTATTTGAGTAAACAACTTAAACTAAAAAAAATAAATAAATAAATAAATTATTAGTGATATATTATATTAAAATTTAAATACTATTATAATAATTAATTTATTACGATATATATAGTCGAACGTACAATAAAACAATATTATTCACAAATTTATTAAAAAATATAGTTTATTTCAATTTAGAAATCCTTACTGATTGAATAACCCATAGAATAGTTATTTTCAGAGCAATTCATTGGAGCTACTGTAAGAAAAACTACAGAGAAAACGCGATTAAGATAAGCTTCGTGACAAAAACAAATAGGCAATTTAAATAATGAATTCTAATTAAAAAGTAAATATTTAAAAATGGCATAAAAAAGATAGAAAAGACAAAGAGAGAGAGAGAGAGAGAGAGAGAGAGAGAGAGAGAGAAACGCCAACGTCGAGGCGTTTTGTTTAAACAGATTTAAATTGACAATAACAATGTGAGACTTAATTACCTTCTTATCAATGCGTAAAACAAGAAAGTTAAACAAATTTCTTGATCAAACAAACTGATATACATCAGTCACAGAGTTCGCAATGTGAAAACAAAAGTGTAAACAAATTCTATAAAGCTGAGCCAACGAACTCTTTTGTAGATTTTTGTCTTTTCTATTGGGGAATATTCTTATCTGTTTTAAAATTTAATTCATGATAATAATTATAAAATTAAATACAAAATTTAATGATTTTTTATTTTTAGTTTTGCTTAATAAAATAAAGAAATTATGTATTTTTAGCTTAGCTTAGACGCAATTTAATTAAATTAAATATATGTTTGTAGTTTTTGCTTAGCTTCGTCTTTAATTTAGCATTGTTTAAAATGCGTATTAAATATAAGTATTATGCCTGCAAAACACGTTTTATGTTTATATTTAATTAACTTTTTACATGCATAAGTTTTCAGGACAATATTTGCCCAGAGGACAGTAAAAGGATGACAACAACTAGCTGGAAGTGTACGACTGGCTGATGCTCTAAAAATGTTTTTGAAGTACTTTTTTTTTTCCAGGGCTTAGATTTTCATTTTTAAAATCATTTCACAGAAAATCGATCAATATATATTACCATATATATCTTTTTAGACAGAGCAAACGCCAATTCTCCTAATCAAGTTATGTAAAATAGATAAATTCGTAAGTTGCTTAAGCTTATGCTTATGCATAGTTTAAAAATCTGAATCCAAATTAACAAGCTCTAGGGCTCCAAAAGAGATCTATATCAACTCTCTTAAACTCTATCGATTGCTTCAAAACTTCCCATGTTGGCTCTACCACTAACAATGGGTATGCTAAAAATACAAGAACTATATGAGAGAGCGGCTGGGCGGCGTTCCCTTGTGCAGGGAATTCCCACAGTTGGCAACACGCAAAAATCGAGCAAAATATAAAGCAATTAATGGAGAGAATGACGTGGAAAATAAAAGAGCTTTGTATAATGCCTAAATATGTGGACGAGCTACAAAAAATACAAAACTGCACAAAACTCAACTAAAATGACTTTGTGCGAGTGACAAAATGCGCAAAAAACTCGCACGTTTAGCGCCTAAAATCAGGCTACACTTCTTCTATTTTTTATTTTTTTGCTGGTTGCCTGAAAGCCAGTTTCCAACGCTGCGCTGTGTAATTATAATATAATTTTTTGTGCCAACACTTTGGAAAATGCCTCGTTGCTGTTATTTCACATGCCATCTCTGTCCCTGTCTCTCTCCCGGTCATTCGATTGTCTTTTGGTCATTCTTTATTCCGCTCTCTCTCTCTCTCTCTCTCTCTCTCTCTGTCTATCTATTGCTGTGAGTATATAAGGCAGCTATGTCTATATTTTCTAGTGCCGTTTTTTGCGGCATTCGCTTTGGGTTTTTTATTCGCATTTGCATTTTCCACTAATTTGACTTTTGTATTGTTGTGGTCGACATCCCACCCAGCATCCAGTTGCAGCAGCTCTGCCCCTCTCGCCCGCCATGCATGCAGCGACCGTTATGTGTTAGAGTTTTTTTCTCGTCCTTTTGCTTTCCACCAATCAGCTCAACGCATTCTCCGTTCTCTGCCCAACTCACTGTGCGTCTGTGTGCGTCCGTGTGTGTGTATGTGTAGTTGGTCGGTCGGGCTACGCACTTTTTGACTTTGGTTTGTGCGAGGAGGCACGGTGGCAGGGGCAATGCATTTCCCATGCATTGGTTGGCTGCTGAGTGCTGCCAGCAGGGGTTGGGTTCCATCTGTGTGCAGCCACATAGCTATGTGCACGTGTATGCGGGCGTGGGAGCACTGTGTGTGTGTAGGTGTAGGTGTAGGTGCATTTGGGATGCGTTTCGAGTGCCAGTCATTTGATGCGGCTGTGACTTTGTGGCCATATCATTAATTGCCGCCAGCTTCACATAAAAAGTAGCACACAAATTGATGGAAAAATATGTCAGAGAATTTACACTTAGAGCTGAAATTAAAGAGTAAAAAACGAGTGCAAAAACTCGCTTAAATGGGCTAGTAATAAACTAGAAATAAATTAGAAATTAGTTAAGCAAATAACATTTTAAACTTTTCAGCTTATTGTCAAGCAAAATAAGAAAATTTGGATTTAGTTTAAATTACAAATTTTGTTATAATAAAGGAATTTAATACTACTATCAAAATAAAAAAAATAATAAAATAATATAAGACTTAATGCATATGAAATGTAATAAAATATAAAATACAAAAAATATAAAATATAAAAAATATAAAATATAAAAAAATATATAAAAAATATAAAAAATAAAAAATATAAAATATAAAGATATAAAATATATACTTTATTCCTTATTAGGTATTTAATTAATACATTTGAAATGTGATAAACTATTCTCTACAAAATATACAGTTTATTCTCTATTTAATATTTATTTATTTATTCATTCTCTGCAAAAAAATAAAAAAATAGAATTCATTAAAATCTAATAAAAAAGTTTAGTATTTTTTTGAGTTAGAAATAGAACATCAGCCACATATATCGTATCAGCTATGGTATGAGTATTTAGCATTTTAGACTACAACAAAAATATTGTAATATGCAATTCTATTCAAAAACTGTTATATGGATAGTCGTATAAATGATTGCTTCATATATTCATAAAATATTTAGGTTGCATATCCTGAATTGTAATTGCATCAACAGCTTCTAGTTTTAGCGTTCAAAGCGCAATTCGTTCAACTTTGCTCCTGTCCATTTCACTTACACATTCGACCCGTTTATCACATTTCTCTCACACACGCACACACACACGTACGCACAAACTCACACACATTCAATTTGCTGGACCTTCAATCACAATAAATCCATACAAATTTCCGTTATATATCCAGAGCCCCAAAGAGGAACGACAGTAATAAAAACTTTCAAATGCAAACTAAGCAAATTTTAATTAATGAAAAATTGCAATTAAAAAAACGAAAACTTTTTTTTCGCCTAGCTATCTCACTTCCACACAGCCTCTGCAGCTGTACACAATTTTTCATTACGTGGAAAGACGCAGAAACTAAAAAAAAAAAAAAAAAAAATAGAAAAAAAAAAGCAAACAAAATGTTGCCTAGTAAATGCATAAAAAACAACGCACAAATACAAACACACAAATATGTACGTACATGTGTACTTATGTAAGTGCATATATACATAAATACATACATGTATGTGCGCGCATACATAAGTGTATGCGTTGGTATACGTGCATGCATGGCGGGTGGGGCAGCTGGCAAAATAGGCGTCATCTAAGCAAGCAGTGCAGCTGCAGCTGCTAAATCTGCTGCGGCCAACTGCGACGGCGATGGCGACGGCGACGGCGACAGCAACGGCGACTGCGACTAGTATCATGCCGATGCTGCTGTTAAGAATGCTGGCGTCGCTGCCAGCTTGGCCCGATTAACATAAACACGCAAAAACATTAACACCGCCACGGCCGCAGCCACAGCCAACCAACAGCCAACGGCGCCAACAGCGACGACGACGCAGTTAGAAAACAACAACAACAGCAACTGCATACGTCATACATAGATAACGCGGCGTATGTGTAATGCTAGAGCGAGACAGCATGTCGGTGTAGTTGCGACTCAGTCTGCCACGCTCATTACACTCATTTCGTAAAGTTGTTGCTGTGGTTGTAGTTGGGTGCGCATAGGCAATTTTCCACATTTTCACACACACAGTCGGCAGCCAGCAAATGCGAAAAAAGTCGACACGCAGACGCCGGCTGCGCTGCTGAGCCATATAGCGGCCGCACCCCCAAACCCAATCACAAAAACGCGTTAATAAGAAAACGTTGCGCAAAAAACTACATGCACACACACACACACACACACACACACACACTCAAACAGCCCAGACCCCTGCCCAGCCCCCAGCCAGCAGCGGCTGTCAGCCAATCACAGAATTTGTTTACGAATCGCCCGGCAA